GCATCAGTCAGAGATCCTATTCCTACGCTATCGTCGAGATAATGGAAATTTTAACGTTTTCTATACGACATATGCTAGTAAGCCCGGAGAGCTCAATTCATAGTTGAAGAGCAATGTGTTAATTGCAATAGGAGTCACTGTTTTTAATGTTAGCCTTTTCTCTAGTGAACTCAATCGGATTTTCCCAAGAGTATATATATATATATATATATATATATATATATAATCATCCACAGACAGACTTTTTCGCTGTATCACAGCTCTTTAGTGTGATACTGTTATTATTAATATTTTAGTAATTTTTGGAGAGTAAACAGACAGTATTATGCTCTTTATTGTCAAAATAAATTATACTAAATTAAAATTAAATTAATGTAAATAAAAAATAATTTTAACCTTGCTATAATTGTAAATAAGTGTTGGTAATATTTTCCGAGGTTATTTTCCTAAAAGATTTTTCCATAATATTACATTTGTGAAATTGTACAAAAAAAAAATCAAAACAAAAAAAAAACAGGATAAGTGAATGTCGTATACAATGTTATTATAAAATAGGTTTGATATGAATTAATAAATGGAATGAAACTATATTTAAAAATAAATAATTGAAATTTATGATGGATTACGTGTGTCTAATTTTTCGATTTGTACGGTCATTGTTGAATTTATTCTATTTTATAAGATTTTTTTTTATAAAATACAATTTATAACTGCAAAATTCTATGAATAAAATGAAATCTATCATTTAACTTTAATATAGTCATATTATATCGTCTCTAAATATTTAAATGTTCTTAATTTATTAACGGATATCAGCTTCCCCTTCTTCTTCTTCTTCTTCTTCTTCTTCTTCTTCTTCTTCTTCTTCTTCTTCTTCGGTGTGTTTCTTCAGAGAATTGGCGATTATGACTCTCCCCAATTTTCTATCCCTTGTAAGCTTTAGCAATGAGTGTCCCTTTGTCAAGACTCCTACTCCCCGTTCCGCTATCTATTTAGGCAAACTCGTTAGGTAGGTGTCCATTAAGCTTCCGTTATTTCGGGTGAGTGTAAAATTTCTCGAAGCCTTCCTTCCTCAATATGTGCCCAAGAAATATAGAAAGTAGAATATAAATATGATATCTGTTAGTAATTCAATAGAATTAACTAAACCCGATAAGCAGTATACGCGCGAGAGGCGGTCGAAAGATTAGTCATTTGTATCTTAATTAAGTCATCTATCTATCTATCTATCTATCTATCTATCTATCTATCTATCTATCTATCTATCTAGCTGACTGAGAGTAATTTATATCTATCTATCTATCTATCTATCTATCTATCTATCTATCTATCTATCTATCTATCTATCTATCAAGCTGACTGAGAGTAATTTATCTATCTATCTATCTATCTATATCTATCTATCTATCAAGCTGACTGGGAGTAAGTTATATCTATCTATCTATCTATCAAGCTGACCGAGAGTAATTTCTATCTATCTATCTATCTATCAAGTTGACCGAGAGTAATTTCTATCTATCTATCTATCTATCTATCTATCTATCTATCTATCTATCTATCAAGCTGACAGAGTAATTTATATCTATCTATCAAGTTGATTGAGAGTAATTTTTATCTATCTATCTATCTATCTATCTATCTATCTATCTATCTATCTATCTATCTATCTATCTATCTATCAAGCTGACTGAGAGTAATTTCTATCTGTCTATCTATCTGAGAGTAATTTCTATCTATCTATCTATCTATCTATCTATCTATCTATCTATCTATCTATCTATCTATCTGAGAGTAATTTCTATCTATCTATCTATCTATCTATCTATCTATCTATATCAAGCTGACTGAGAGTAATTTCTATCTATCTATCTATCTATCTATCTATCTATCTATCAATGACTAATTTCTATCTATCATCTATCTATCTATCTATCTATCTATCTATCTATCTATCTATCTATCTATCTATCTATCAAGCTGACAGAGTAATTTATATCTATCTATCAAGATGACTGAGAGTAATTTATATCTATCTATCTATTATTTTACACCCAAAATGCAATAAAGCCACCAAGACTTGTGTGAAAAATGCGAGAATAAGAAAAAAAACATTATTAAGGAGAAAGAGCAATAAAAGAAGAGAAATTAAGAAGACGGAAGTTAACGATTAACATTGAATTTCAAATTTTTGGAAATCACGCGAGAAGGTCGAAAGAAGAAACTGTTATCATAGAACTTACGGTTTCATCCAACAATTTCAACTGTAAAATGATGAGGGCTAGCTGCCAATATAGCACTGTGGTTGGATTTGCTATGTCGGGTTGCCAAGGAGGAAAGCTTATCAGAACAATTACCATGAAAATATTCATAGAAAAGGTACAGTAAAGGGATGTTAAGGCGGTGTACAAATGACCGAAGCCGAGATCTCAGGTCAGGACTAAAAACATTGCAGATTCTTCTTTGCCTTTTATCATAACACAAACAGACAAAACGAGACAACAATTTTCATTCTACGGACGGATTTTATACTTATAGATTTAGCGGAAAAACTGTCTAGCACAAAACAAGGAATCAACTTTGCAATCTATCTATCTATCTATCTATCTATCTATCTATCTATCTATCTATCTATCTATCTATACACACACACACACACACACACATATGAATATACATATACCTACTTCTTCGTCTTATCGTGCAACTCAGAATGTATGTGTGCATTTATTAATATACTTTATAGTTCTGTTTATCTACATTAAGCATTGTTTTGTTTACACCATATATTAAATAGATACTTATTTGCTGTATATGCACGGTTGGTAATATCTTGTTATTTAGTTTATATCCACACCTATCTATCTATCTATCTATCTATCTATCTATCTATCTATCTATCTATGTGTGTGCGTTTCATTATATATGTATGTATATATATATATATATATATATATATATATATATATATATATATATATAATGTCGATTTAATTTTATAATAATCCTTTCTAGTTCTCTAATTATTTTCTTGATGTTACATTGAAATTCATCCAGGAATGGACTGTGTTTTTGTTAAGCCAAATACATTTTTATTTACTTTTAGATAATCTTCAGGGGTAAATTGCGAAGACGAAATTACTTTAACTGTGATCGTTGTTATGTTGATTTTTGTAAACACACGTGAAGGTAATCTGTTATAATCATTTTTTAATTTAACCGTTGGTTTTACGATGTTTTTTAAACAAACGTTCACAATGTAAGGGAGTTAACCAGAGATGGTAAAATGCAAGATGCTATTAAATGTTAGTCAACGCAAATGCATTCTAAAACATTGCTACGATACCGGTAATAAATTTTGTTCAGTACTGGTTGGTTGCTTTTGATATAGAGGGCCTCTAGAATTTGAAGGTTTTGTTTATTATTTGCATGGTGTAGTATATTGTCGTTGTCAGTCTTTTCCTTTATTGTTAAGATGGACAGGAACGTGTCTTGAAACTTTGACCTGACTACCATTTAACATCATGTTGCATTTTTATCATCTCTCGTATTCTCCCTTGCAATGTGAACGCTTGTTTACAAAACATCGTAACGACAACGGTGAATTTAAAAATAATTATAACAGAACGTGTTCACATGTACTTACAAAACATAGCATCAAAATGATTGCAGTTACATTAAGTTTGTCTTCGCAATTCACCCCTGAAGATGATGTTGATGAATTTCAACTTAACATCAAGAAGCTAATTAGAGAATTAGAAAGGATTATTATGAAAATAAATTGACATAATATGTCTACATTAATTAATAAAACATGCTTGTATGAAGATATGTTGCCCATACATATATATATATATATATATATATATATATATATGTGTGTGTGTGGGTGTGTCGTTGGGTGGATAGGTGTGGGGTGTGGAGGGGTGTGGGGGTGGGTGTAATCACGTTTCTAATTTGTCAGGATGAAACAAAGGAGAATTGTTCATTGTTTCCTTTTCAAACGAATTCATAAAAACGCAAACAAACAAGAATCTGACGAAAGCCTTTCAAATGTAAGTCTGCTTAGTGAAATGAGTTGTCATGGCAACAACGAAGATGAAACCCTTCTGGCTTTTGTTCCTCTTCCTCTTACTCCTTCTGCTCCTCTCTTCATCTTCCTTTTTTTCTTTAAATACTACTCCCACTATTCCCAATTTTACTTCCTGATCCAACCCCAGAAGCATTCGTTCCATTTTTTTAGTCTCTTCGTCTCTTTCTCCTTTCGAATACAATGAAACCTTTCACTCGTTTAAATAAATGCTAAATATATATATATATATATATATATATATATATATATATATATATATACCAATGGATGCACACACACACGTATATATATATATATATATATGTATATACACACACAAATAAATATATATATATATATATATATATATATATATATATGCGTGTTTTTCAGGGTGAGAGAGAATGTTGCTTTATGCTAGTAAGATACAGAATCCGAATGAAATTTGAGAAATAAGAAAAAGTCGAAAAGCTTTTTAATGACAACGCGTTTCGTGTTGTTGACTCTGGTAGGCGTCTTCTGGGATGAGGACATTCTTAAAAGGTTAGCCGCACTAAAAAATGGATTGATGTGAATTGGATTAAAAGAAGCCCAGAATACAAATTGAAATAAATATATATAAAGGATATTGTCCGATAGATACATATGAATAGACTGAGCTAGATAGCTTGCTAGCTAGCTAGCTAGATAGCTAGATAGCTAGCTAGCTAGATAGATAGATAGATGCAGATAGACTGATATATATATATATATATATATATGTGTGTGTGGGGGGGGGTGTAGAGAGATATAGAGAGTTAGATAGGAATAGACTGTGATAGATAGATAGAGAGACTGATATATATATATATATGTGTGTGTGTGTGTATGTGTGTGTGTGCAGTGTGTGTGTGTCTGTATGTGTGTGTGCAGAGAGAGAGAGATTGAGAGTTTAAATAGATAGGAATAGACTGTGATAGATAGATATATAGATAGATAGATAGATAGATAGATAGATAGATAGATAGATAGATAGATAGATAAATGCAGATAGACATATATATATATATGTGGGGGGTGTAGAGAGAGATAGAGAGTTAGATCGGAATATACTGTGACAGATAGATAGATAGATAGATAGATAGATAGATAGATAGATAGATAGATAAGAGTAGACTGAGATAGATAGATAGACTGATATATATATATATGTGTGTGTGTGTGTGTCTGTATGTGTGTGTGCAGAGCGAGAGAGATAGAGAGTTTAAATAGATAGGAATAGACTGTGATAGATAGATAGATAGATAGATAGATAGTGTTTGTGTGGGTGTATTTATATAAATACAGAAAGGTGATGAGACAAATTAAACTAAGAAAGAAAGAAAGAAAGAAAAAAAAAAGAAAGAAAGAAAGAAAAAAGAAGAGAGTAAAATTAGTTCCTACAAATAAAAACAATACCGACATTAAAAGGAAACCATAATTGGATTCTTTCAGTTGAAATTTGGTTTCTCAGCAAACGTGTTTCCCGGCCATGGATTAACGCTTGGAATCTGCGACAATCGTAAACAGAAGCCCTGGAACAACAAATAAACTAAACAGCAGGAATTGGTTATCACACGTGCAATATTTACGCTGAGGCTGAAATAAGTGATCCTATCTCTGAAGAAAGATAAGAGAAGAATTCTCTTTGCCATAAAGACGAGAAACCTAGCAGTTTATTCTTTTCTCAGCTGAGCCATTTGGAAGACATCTTGAATAAGGATCTAAAGCAAATACCCGCTTGTAAAATATGTCTATTGAAACGTCGCAACTTATGAAGAATTCTACTAACTTGCTCGAAGCGGCCAAGCGGTCGTTTCCCACAGAGTAATAATACAGCTGGTCGTAACTATAATTTACATTAATGAAATTTTAAGTATAACAATATAAAATAATACAATATAAAGTGAATATTAAATATTTCAATGTTAAATAAGTCTGTAATAATATAAAATAATACTGCGTAAATTAATGCAAAATAAATTAATACAACGTGAAATAATGCAATGTTAAGTGGTACACTGTACATTATAAAAGCACAATAGAAATGTTATCTGTTTAAATTTCTGGCATGAGTATTATTGTAACATTTCAGGAAGAGACAACACCGCCGACCCAACACCGCCGACTGAACGCTGGGACAACTCAGGATTGAGACTACTCATGACCGAGACAACTCAGCACCAGAAAAACATAAGTTCTTTTTTTTTTTTTTATAACCGAATAAAAACAATTTATTAGGGATTAAAACCTTAATTAGTGAATATTTTTATTCGAATAAGGCATTTGAAAAGGCATTATGTAAAATATGAAACAGTATTTTTAATAAAGGAAATCGTAAAGAAATTTATTCTTTTAATAAAGTAAATTAACCTATAAGAAATATTTCAATAAATCACACTTGTCTTTAATTTCTAAAGAAATGAGTATGAAACAGTTTTATTATTCATAAATTTACTAAATCATAAAAATCTGTAAGGAAATCTTTATTATTTACTATTTTAAAAGTTCGATTCGTTTGGCAATTTACTGATTCTTTGACCAACAGCCTACATAATTTGTTAGTTTTGCCAAATGTTTTAGTCAAGTTGGTCAGCGTTCAATCTTCATTCAAGTTTTCTTCATCAGTCATTACTTGTCTGACAGTAAATAAGCTATTAGCAGATTTTCTAGGCATCTTTAGAAAAAATTAAATTAAAAAAATTAAAAAATTTTCAAAATTATGTTTTTCATAAAGAGTAGGAATGAGGAGTGCAAACTATAATTGCTGAGTTTCAGGTCTTAGATTTCTATTGATTAGTAAGTAATCCAAGATCAAAATTATAAAAAAAAATTGGAAAATTAAAATAAGAATTAATCTGAGATATTAAATAATTTGAGACGAAAATGAATAATATCCGGAAAAATCGTCTGACAATTATTTTAAGACATTTTTATACATACTTTTTTATAGATACAAATATTTAAGTAAATGCTCTGTTTATAATAAACAGTATTAACAACGTTTACCGGCCTGAATGTCCGAGAAATTGTCATAGAAAATATGCGTCCTCCGACAGGAATCGAACCTGTATCCTATACAGAACCGTCATATAATCGGACTTGCTTTTTACCGATTTTGCCAAAGAGGTCGATTTTACAGTTTTTAAACTACAATTTTCCATGATTTTCTCACTTACATTCGTATCTGCTCGGTGCGTATCTAAATGTAAACAAATGACAACACATTATGAAATGGACAAAGTCTGACAATTATTTTAAGACATAAAAAAGAATGTATAAAGATAAAAATGTCTTAAAATAGTTATTTATCTATAAAATGGTTAGTAATAAATATTGCTATGTTTTTGGTTCACATATTTTCAAAACTTTGTAAATTTTTGAATAAAAGATGCCTTTTCATATTTATTTCTTTAAAAAATTATAAATTATGAATCTTCATGAAATGGTAAATAATAAATATTGCATTGTATTTGGTTGACATATTTTTATCATCATGTAAACAAACATTGTCGACGGAGTGAAGGTAATACAAAATAATAGCGGTATCAAGGAAAAAGAAACGACTTTTTGTTACACCTTGTTTTTAGGAGAACGAAGGTTAACGATTGCCGAATTTTTTTTTAATACTTAGAAAAACTTTTATGAAGGAAATAAACGACACCAATAAAAATTTGAGAACAAGTATAATAAATATATTCAGTCAGTCAGTTATATGCCATGCGTGATACACGCTTAGGCGATCATGTATCTTTTGATACATGACTGACGAGGCAGATTTTTCCCGCAGTAGGTTGCCATTTCTTTCTGCATGGAATCAGTTGCCATCCAAGGTTAGAGAACCCGGTCTGTCCTGCTATTTATCCATACTTGAGGGGAGAAGAAGAGGATTCATATCTTTCCCAAGAGTATTAGCACGTAAGCGAATGTAAATGATTCGACTGGGATTCGAACTCGGCTCTCCAGAGTGGCACTTCTCATAGATGAAAAAGTAGAAGAAGAAAAAGAACAATTAAAAATGACACTGTAAAAAGTAGAATGTTTGTCTTAACCAGTGACTTTAAAAATATAGTGAAAGCCATATTTATCTAACCGTATAACTTGATTGTCTGACGGTATTCAGCTATGTGCCATGCATGATACACGCTTAAGCGATCGTGTAGCTTTCGATACATGACTGACGAGGCAGAATTTTTACCCGTAGTAGGTTGCCATTTCTTTCTGTGGTAGTCTAGTTGCTATCCAAGGCTATAGAACCCGGTCTGTCCTGCTATTTACCCATAGCTGGCAGGAGAAGAGAATTTATTCCTTTCCCAAGAGTATTAGCACGTAAGTGAATGTAATGTATTAAATTGGAATTCGAACTCGACTCTCCGATTCCTCAACCCGAGCCACTATCCATTAATTAAAATACAAAATGAACAGAATAACACGAACTAACGTGATGAAAAAAATCCCCCTTTTTTCCTGTTCTTCAATCCACACAATTTCATTAAGTATCTGTCTATATATCTGAGATGAGGTATTATGTATACTATTTACATTATTCGAACTATTGTCCTCATCTTTGTCGCCATATATATTACAACGTTTCGGCCGTTGTACGCTCCGGCAATGGTAACAGCAAAAATTGCAATATGAGCACAGGTAAAAAAATTATTGCTGAATACATTAGGTTTACATTACCCAGGAATTCATACAAAGATGTCCTCCTTTTATTTTCTTCCTCATTGCTCACATATTTTGTCCATTGTATCCTTAGCATTCGGTGCCAGAGACGCTTTTCTCCCTCTTCAAGTCTCTCAAGGACACATGGCACAGTGGATAAAGGCGTTGGTTAGATCCAGTGACAGGACCCAAAGAGTGTGAGTTCAATAACCGGTTAAGGCAGTGGAGAACTTTCAGAAGGGAATTAACAGGAGATAACTGATAACTGGCATCCATTAAACATGGCACGTGGAACTAGAAAAGTCTACCCCAGTGAGCGAAATAAAGGCTTCAGTTCGACATTCCAACCACCTGTAGAAGGCCGGAGCGTGCAACGGCCGAAACGTTGTCCTTATATTCGGCAACAAATATGAGGACAATAGTCCGAATAATGTAAATAATGCTCATTAAGTAGTTTACTCATCGTTCCCTCTGCTTTTCCGGCCTTATGAGTGTTAAATTCTTTAAACTTTCTTTCCTCATTATATGCCCTCATTATATTCTAATTGCACGCATAATTTTCCTTTCATTTTCTTCCTCATTGCTCCCATATTTTGTCCATTGTATTCTTTACATTGGGTGCCAGGAACACTTTTCTCCGTCTTCAACTCTCTTCTTTAATCGTGTGATTGTCCATCCTTCACTGTCATATTGGAGATTATATATTAAATAGTTTTTTTTTTATTATTATTCTAAAGATAATTTCCTATCTCTTAATACAGTGTGAGGCAGAAATATATCCCACATAAGGGTAACACATTAGTGGCAATGATATCTTCCCCTAGCTAATGCCTTACCATTATGTGAGAGGTACTTCTGGTAGCTGTATGTGGGAGGTACTCCTGCCGTACCCTGTTCTTTCTTTTTATATGCCGTGTCCTTTCAGAACGTAGGCGATCATGGCTCTCCACTTCTTATCTTCTGTGGCCCTCAATAAGTTTTGTGGCTCTACCAACTCTGATCACGTTATGCCATCCACTTACTTAAGCCCGCCAGGTATATCATGCGTTGCTTTCCCTTGTCTCTTTTGCCCTCTATTCGACCTTTGAGTATAAAATTCTCCAGGCCCTTCTCTCTCATTACTTGTCACAGAAATTTCACCTGCCTCTTCCTTATGTTAAGTTTCCTCCTTGTTTGCATCCTCTGGAAAACCTCATTGCTGCTCACACGCTCGCTCCATGATATCCTTAAATCCTTCTGTAGAATCGCATCTCGAATCTCTAAGGCAATGGGAAACCACTCCACTATCAATCCTAAGTTCTATTATATTATGACCGCACCCTGTACTTTGATTATTTCTTGACATACATCTTTCAAATTTCGTATAGACCTTCTCGTTTTCGTGCCTTTTTTTCCGTCGTTTATTAATAAACTTCCCATAAAGTGAAATTTCTGGAGCAGTAAAGAGATTCAAATTCAGTTCGAAGATA